ATTGTTATCTTCAAAGTAGCTCTTCAGAATACAAGATATAGACATGAAAAAAAGATCAAACCATTGAATAATGAAAGCACAGACTGTTCCTTTTGGGTGCTGGGGATTAAACTCACGACCTTGTGCTTGCCAGAAAGGCACTTGTGCCACTGAGCTACATCTCTGGCCACAAACTGTTGTTTTTGATGAACTGACCAAGATTAGTAGTATAGTTATCTATCTTGTATGTACAGATACATATATATCTATTTATATCTGTGTCTGTATCTATATCTAATCTTTTCTCCTTTCCCCATCCCAGTTATTATTTCCTTTTGAGCAGTGCTTTATCTCTTTTTAATGCTCATTGTTGCTGGAAAAAAAATTCCATTGTTTAGACGGGAACTGGCTGAGTTTTACTAATGGGTTGCTTCCAATCTCTTATTACCACAAGCAGGGTGGCAGCAAATATGGTAGGTGCTTAGTAAGTGTTTGTCTTCTTGTCTGTATTTTAAAAATTAACTTTGTTGAGGCATATTGTCCACACACGTTCACCACAATGATTTTTTAAAGTAAATTTACCAAATATACAATCATGACTATCAGTTCTAGAATATTTTAACCTGCAAAAGATCCCTTATGCACATGCAATGTATATGTCTTTTGTCTCTTTTTATTCCTCAATTACGTGGCTATGCAACATTTTGTCTGTCAGTTCACTTGGAAAGTGAGACTGTTTCTAATTTTTGGCTATTCTGAATAATCCCACAAAGAATGCTTATGCTACAAATATTTGCATAGATAAACTTTTTTGGTTGGTAAGATATATAGGATTAGAATTGTTGGGTCTTTGGAAAATCTATATTTAACTTCTTAAGAAACTTCCAAATGTGTCTGATTTATTTCACTTATGAGGATGGTCTCAAGTTGCCTCCATTTACCTATAAAAGCCTCAAGGTCATCCTTTTTATAGCTGAGTAATATTCCATTGTATAAAAATACCACATAACTATATGTATAAGTGTGCAAGATAGATGACCATACTACTAAGTTTTTGTTAGTTTATCAAACAGAATAGTTTGTACTGTCATTGACTGTCTGTCCACTTTTGTGCTTTGATTTTGCAACTTGAACAACTACTTCTAAAATAACAATATATAATTTATCAAACTAGTGATTTCTTACTGTTTTTTGAAATTTTTGTATTGTTTCTACACTTTTTTCTGTTTTGCTTTTTTCTCTAAATAAAAAAATAAAAAAGAAACGTCCAAATTGTTTTGCAAAACATCTGTATTATTTTTATATCCTCACCAAATGTATGGAGGTTCTTTTTCTCCCACATTCTCACTGGTTTTTGGGGTTGTGTATTAGCCACTCTAGTGGATAGTCATGGTATCTCTTTGTGATTTGCACTTCCTTAATGACTAATGACGTTGAGTATTTTTCCATGTACATTGTTTTCTTACTTCTATTTCTCACATACAACTCTAAGATCATATTCAAGAAAGAGTACAATGTTCGGGTTCCAACAAACCCGGTCCCATATCTCAGCTCTGCCATTTGCAGACCATGACAAATTAGGCTTCTTATACCAATCCTTTAAAGCTACTTAACTTTTCAGGCCATCACCTGCAAAGTAGGAAGGAGAAATCTGGGAGTTATGCTGTGAACATTACACGTGGTCATGCCTATGAAGTGCCCTACCCTTGGGCATAATAACTGGTGGACATCAAAATATTTTGTCTTTCCCTAGGTGGTCTGTCCCCACACCAAATGTCCAGAATCTATCTTTGGGGAGGGTGCTTTCCCTAATAAGGGACTGAGTTTTAAATGATAGTGGATGGGGTATTCAAATTTATAGTAACCCAGATGAAGAATGCAAGAATACAGTTGCCATTGAAATAGGCTGGCTGATCAGAACTAATCCTTCCTGTCTGTGGTGAGAAGGCTTCTGAGGGCTGGCTCTCCTGCTAGCTTAAGACTGGGTTTCCTGCTCTGCTGTCAACTATGACCTCTTCCCTGATCCTTCCTGCTGACAGCAACCAGGCCACTGATTATGTGTGTGGGGCAGGTTAACCAAAGAAAAGCTTGGCTTATCCAGGAGTTCAAATGTTCCAAGAATTTGCCTATAGCATTTTATTTATTTTCTATCAATTTAAGAGAAAGGCATCATTTTTTTGGTAATTTTGCTGATGCTAAACTCAAAGCTACTGGTAACAGCTAGTACTACTACAATACCTAACATGCTTTTTGAAAAAACTTTATACAGATGGGCTTACTTAATTTTCGTGACAGTCAAATCAGGTAGATACTGCTTTACCACAGTTTCATGGTTGCAGAAACTAAGTCAGAGAGGAAATAAGCTAGTATATGATGATGCTAAGAGGTGAACCCATGGTGGTACACAAATCTATGTCCTTCATCACTATATAATTGTGCTATTCTGCTAAAGGTCTTGCCTACTTTGGAATATCTATTAAATATCTATTAAAATGTAGAATGTGAGTAATATTCTGACAATTTTTTCACAGTACCTATGTTTGTTTGTTTGTTTTTTTTTTTTTTGGTCTTTTTGAGGCAGGGTCTCCCAGTGCAATTCAGGCTGGCCTTGAGGTCATTTTGTAGCCCAGACTGGTCTTGAACTTGCAATGATCCTCCTACCTCAGTCTCTCGAGTGCTGAGATTACAAGTGTATGCCACCACACCTGGCTTTGGTACCTAGTTTAGAGAAGAATTTACATACTCAAAGAGGCATGTATCAGGATGTTCACTGAGACATGTTTGCAAGTCTGCAAAAGTCTAGGTAAGCTGTACAACATCATCAGAACAAGGGCAGACAGGTGAAGCATGCTATGGCCATGTAATGGGAGCCTGATATTGCCTAGCAGTTTTTAAAAAAAGAACAGAGCCCTTTAGAAACTGGATTAACTTTTCAAAATTTGCAAAATTTACAAACTAAAATAAACCAATGGTAAGGAAAGTATATACAACTTAATGCCACATACAATCAATATGTATGTATATATTATAATTGTATGTATATATTATAATTATATATATGTATATATTATAATTGACTATATATGTAATATATAGACAAATGCCTGAAAGGATACCAAATCCTTCCTTCCTGGGAAAGTATGGTGAGATGAAAGGATGATGCTCTGGGGAAACAGTGTTTATATATATATATATATATATATATATATATATATTTTTTTTTTTTTTTTTTTTTTTTTTTTGTCTTTTTCCTTTTTATCGGTACCGGGGATTGAACTCACGACTGCCTGCTTGCAAGGCAGGCGCTTATGCCGCTGAGCTAAATCTCCAGGCCCAGTGTTTGTATTTTTAAGAATATGGATCTATTCAATTAGGAACTGTATAGTTAATTATAATTAGAGGAATATACATTTCATTAAAAGTAAGAAACACCTTGGACCACATAGTTAGAAGAAGGAAAGAGGCCAGGTGAGGGCGTGCATGACTGTGATGTTAGTGCTCAGGAGGCTGAAGCAGAAAAAAAAGATTGAGGAGACTCAAATTCAGAGACGGTGCTGGGGGCCACTCAATCTCTGGCTCACTCTGGGGCTCTTCTGCACCTGTTAAGGCCAGGGATATAGCTCAATGGTGCAGCGCCTACCTGCAAGTATGGCGTCTTGAATTTGATCCCGGTACTCACAAAAAAAACCCCAAAAAACAAAAACAAAAGATTGAGAAGGAGGCTGAGGCAGAAAGAAGGCTGCTAGTTTGAGGCCAACCTGGGCTGCCAAGCGAGTTCAAGGGCAGCCTAATCTGCATAGCAAAACCCTGTCTCAAAAGGACAAAAACTTATGAATAAATTAATAAATAAATAAAGGAGAAAGAGAGAGAAAGAGAGAGAGAGAGAGAGAGAGAGAGAGAGAGAGAGAAATCCAATGATCTTTCTAGTTACACATCATTTTTTTGAGGTATCTGTGAAGCCCACTATGATCCTCTCTGGTAATAACAGTAATTTCATATTGATTCATCATCTCTAGTACAGAATGCTAAGTCTGTCTTAAGCATTCTCACCTTTGCAGAAGCTACGAAACATGACACACAGCCTGACTTAACTGTCCCTTTCCTTTCCAGAGTACAGTCAGTGCCCTGTAGCTAAGATGTGTCTGATTAAAATGACTATTATGAAACGGTGTGTGTGTGTGTGTGTGTGTCAGAATTTTCAGGTGTGGGAAAACACTGCCCAGAAAACTGTCACCTAGAGAAGAGTCACAGATGACACACAGGTCCTCACTGACAGTCCAGCTCTTTCTTTCTCAGTCATCCACAGTAGTAATCCTGAGAAAGTGGGGGGGGAGGGTTCGTGTCCTGTAAATTACACCTACTCCAGGGGACATTTGCCCATTAATTGGTATATCATTTATAAAAATTATTGTGGTAAGCTGCAGTAGAAAATTAAATTGATGAAATAAGTGAAGTCTTTCCTTAAAGTCTCTTATTATTAATTATTATGCCAACCAATTATATAATAGAGTCTTACAACGGAATTGAGGTACATTAATTCTAGTCCTTAGAACTAGTCCTTAGAACATTATTGTTATCTCCTTTTACAGAAAAGGAAATAGGCTCAGTACCTATAAGTGGTTAAAGAGCCGTCAGGCCACACGGAAAGGGGCTCCCCTTTCTGCTGCATAATCATGACTATTTAGACGGGCTTCTCCTGCCATGAGCTTAGCTCAGGCTTCTGCTGGAGAGCCCCCAGCACAACCAGACTCTTCATTTGTAGGTTCTAAATGCTCGTTCCCTGTTTTTGCCCACCTGCCACACCACAATGTGATTTGTTCCTTTTTCTGATCTCTGACAGCTGCTCACGAAGGTAAGGAGAAGTGGGACTTCAGATGTTTGAAGAAGCTAAGTGAGATTTCCCAGTGTGATCTCTATGAAAGAGACGTGGTGGCTGAGCCACACCACATGGTTCTGGAATTCTTACGGAGGCCAAAGATATCCTAGAAGTGATGGTGATGCCGGGCGTGTTTATTTTTCAGATTCGTGTGACATGAAAGGATGGCAGACTCTGAGGGGCCCCAGAGTCACACTCTGTGTTTTTTATCTACGTTGCTTTCCCAGAAGGTTCCTGAGAAGTCAGATGTTGTGCTTCGCTGCATGATTTCCGGTAATTATCCCTAGACTAGCTTCTCATCCTGTAACACCTCCGGCTGACCAGGATATTTAGCTCAGAAAGACATAGTGAAAACATCATGTAGGAAAATTACCTTGGAAGTTTATTCTGAGTAATCACTAAGCAATTAAATTCTCTATGATTTTTGTTTTTTTGAGTGACTTCCTGGACACTGTTTAGTGATTTCCCTCATTTTGTGCTGTGGTTCTCAGGTAGGCAGCTCTTATGCTGGTTAACTTTTCAGATAAGCTATTTTTTACTTCTTGTGGCACACAGGAATGGCATGAATACCTTCCCTCAAAATGAGTTGGATTCTTCTGTTACTCTTTAACTGATATCCCCAGATTGGCTAAATTTGTCTGCTGCTGGTTGCCTTCCTCAGGCATGCTAGTAAATGGTAGAAAGGTTAAAACTAAGACAAACGTCAACCAGTGGAGGAAAAGCCAAGAAGTTGAATTTCCTCTGGCTTGGAGAACACATCTTTCAGAGTGGATCAGGTACCCCCACAGGCAAAAAGGATTGATCATTCAAAGAAAATAAAAACATAGTGATTGAATAGGCAATGAGTACTTTGTTATGGGTGATTCTCCTTTCTTTCTTTATGTCTTTGCCTTGAAAAGTGAAGGCACCATTTCCTGAGGGCAGAAAGAAAACTCCCTCTCCCTAATTTTCTTGGGTCAGAGAAAAGAGCCAGCATTGACAAGGGCTGCTTTCATTGGTGGGATTCAAATGAAAGCCCGCCTTGAGTCTGCAGACTGGAGTGCCCAACATGCACACAGCCTCGCCAGCCCAGAGACAACTTTCTCCATGCTTATCGATGCTGTTCAAACTGATGGAGAGACACAAGTTGATTGTGGATCTTTATCGAGAACCCATGTGTGTTTAGAAAATCTTAACTCTGGCTGCCTCTCCCTGCACACATTAACCAGATCATTCTGAAATGTTCAGGTGGTGGCTCTCAATATGTAACTTGCAAGGAAGCTCAAAAAACAACAGGGAGAAAGCTGAGGCTGCCACACAGTGGCAGAGGGTGGCTGAGTGTGCGTGAGGCCCTCGGCTCAATTCTGAAACACCACAAAAAAACCTAAAGTACTAAAAAACAAGGGGAAACAGGTGAGGTTTCCAGCAAGTGTAGGGAGAAAAGAGAACCACCCACAAGGTACAAGATACCACTTCCCTATAGAAGTCTCGTTTCTGGTTGGTGGTTCAGACAAAAGGAAAAAACCTGTCAGCTATTAGGAAACTCGGGGGAATCAACCAGCTCTGATCAGTCAGAATAAACAACTGGAGTCCAGGAGGCCAGAATGAATTCCCCTAGACAGGCTTATGCACACCTTACTTGTACTTTCTTTAAAAAAAGTCATGCACACATAAAAGGAGCAATTAAGTGTTTCCTCAGAAGCAATCTAATGTACATTGATTAAATGGAGGCACAAGGCTGATGGGAGTAGGTAGAAATGAAACATGATCAGTAACCTCTTTGATGGTTTTCAGGGAAGTTCATTTTGGGTGGTTTAGTCGGTCACTTGACTGTAAAGGTCAGGCGAGCAGCTGCGGGAGAAGGATGTGTCCTTGCATGAAGTCCTTCTGCTTCCAGCTCCAGGGACAGCTACTCAGGCAACTGCTTGGAGGAGGAGGCAAGGAGAGAAAGAACCGGTTACCTAAAAGCACATTCATGGCATTGGCACAGGGAGAGGGACTCTGATCTGTACCTTGGGTCTCCGTGGCTTTGCTCTGTCCCTTCCCTGACCTCTTTTAGCTTTCTCTTCCCTAGGGCCTCAGAAGAATAGGAAGTTCTTATCTTCACAGTCTCGGAGTTGCTTTCCAAACATTATACCCTAAATAAAGCAAAAACAGAAGAACATATCATATTCCTGGGATGGATTAAGTTTGATGAATTGTTTCCAAATACCAGGCTTCTCTCCCTGTATTTATGGCATATTTGGATAAATTCTCAGTGACATCAAGGTTAGATGACCTTGAGAAAGGTCTTCAAGGACACATTGGAAACTTTCCTACCCTGTAACAGTTGGGAAGAATTCCTAAAGGGTGGGTGAAACTTCTGAGAGTTTAGGAAGAATGATCTGCTTCTGGGGGAGAAAACGTATGTCAGTTTCTTTCATGACATCAGTCACATACATAAGCACAACCTTAGGGAAATCTATATACCGATCCTCAGGTAGAAAATAACACTTCTGTTCTTCTTATTCAACTTGTTCTCTTTTGTACCATAGCACACACTCAACTTTGAGTAAATTGGTTTCCATGGAAATAAGAAATTAACATTTCAAGGGTTTTATTCTACTTACTAGTTAATGAGGAAACCACAAAGTGTTACAGCCTGAGAAGTTAGGCATTTATATGCTATTTTATAATTTAAGAATAAAGTTGTTAGGTTAGGTTTAATACGGTTCAATGTCCGATTGGGCAGTAAACAACTTATGGGATTGTCTTTTCTGCTAACCAGAAGTGATTTGCATCTCTATTAGATAAAAACCTACAATTTAACATATAACTTCACTAAATCTGGGGATTTTAGTCAGTAATAATGGCTGAGTGAAATGAAGTACATTCCCTAAGATAATTCTTGGATAATCCTTTGTTTCAGGTGACATTAGAAAAAAAGATACCATCCATATCTTTGCCTACTGAACAATTTTTCTTGATCTGAGACAGGATTTTTCATTTTGTGTTCCCACTCCCCAGCACAGCATTGTCTTAGGCATATAACATCTTCAACTGTGTTTATTAAATCACACATTTGTATATGTGAGAGGACGCTTTTTAATTCCTCAACTGACACAACCCATCATGCGATCATCCTCGTTCCTTATTGTCCATTCTTTCTCATAAATTTATACCTTTTTGTAAAAATGTTCAATGTAATAAGAATATTCTTACTTCTTTATTATCAGGTCAGCCCAAGCCAGAGGTCACCTGGTATAAAAACGGTCAAGCCATAGATGAGTGTGGCATTGCTTCCAGTTATGAGTTCTTTGAGAATCAATATGTTCATGTGTTACATCTCTCTTGGTAAGTGGCTTTACCCTTTTGGATTGTCTTCTAACATTCTGTAGTCCATCATGTGCTGTTTACTATGCTGTTTCCATCATATTTGCTCCTGACATCCTAACTTTAAATGCTATTGGCAGACATCAGCCAAGGCATCCAGTAATGCCTATAGTTGGCCCTCGGCATCTGCAAGTTCTACATCTGTGTATTTAGTCAACCACTGACTGAAAATATTTTTAAAATTTGCATTTGGATTGAACCTGTACAGACTTTCCCCTTGTTTTCATTCCATAAACAATTATATTAGATATTGCAAGTAATCTAAATATGATTTCAGTTATACTGGAGGAAGTATGTAAGCTAGATGCAAATATTATGCTCTTTTATATGAGACTTGACCATCAGCAGGGGTGGAGATATCCAGGGACCAATGCCTCTTGGATATTGAGAAACTGTATTTTCTGAGCTCAGTAATAATTTCACTTTTCTAGTTTATTGTTATTGACGGAGTTAAATGCTATTGAGAATTCTAAGTGATCTATCCATTTTCAATCATTAGGTGAACTTTTTACTTAATCTTGCTTTTTCTGGAGCACTAAGAAAGTGTGATTGGATCTCAGCACTGTCACCCAAACTTGCATGGGTAAGAAGGAAGAAGTGGTTGACATCATTCCACAGCAAATTGGTAATGGAATTTAGGCTAGTACCCAGGCCTTCTGGTTTTATTTTAGGAAGCGTGGTGGTCCGATACAGTGTTTTCTAAGTCTTTTCTATTCCCCAGGAACTATTTGTTTGGGTGAAATTTGGAAGCTCAACATGTAGAGAAAATGAGAACTGCTCTATTTCAGGCTGGTAGGGAGTCTGCCCTTAATTCTAATGTTCCTGAATTGATCACAGTGTCCTTCTAGGGCTCCAAGAAGCCAGAGGAAACAACAGGCACTGTCTGAAAATTATTCCTCCTCAGGAGTCTGTGCCAGTAGCCCTGGATCTAAGAATAAGAATGTTCTACAAGCACTGCACACCAATTGTTTTGCTAAATGCTAGAGATGGAGGTGAACATCATAAACATTGCCCACATCTTCACAAAACTTCTGCTCCAGCAAGGAAAATAGGTGGTGAACATAAATTAATACATCTTTCTCCCTCACTATATCAATATACCTAAGGAGGTGGCTACATTGGCATTTGTGCCCTGAACATATGGCTTGAACTTTCCTGCCTCTTCATTCCAATTTTGCCACAATCTTCCCCTCTTCATCTGCAACTTATTCAGCTTAGAATCTGCCTCCATGCTTTGCAGGTAATTCTAGGTCCACATAGGCTGAAGTGGAAAGGAATGAGAGACTTAGGAGGGAACTTACACTATGGAGGGGGCAACAAATCACTATTGTCTCCTCTGCAGTCAGTAGGGCAGCGGTATTTGTAAAAATGTAAGATTTAATATAACTGAATCCATTCTTTCCAAGCTCTAGGCCTGGCATTTTGAAAAGTAAGAATTCAATCCTAGTGCAAGAAATGATGATAGATCAATATGACAATATATATAAGAATTCAATCCTAGTGCAAGAAATAGTGATAAACCAATATGACAGTATATATTTTGCTGCTTAATATTAAATAGGCTGGGTAACAGTAATCTTTGAAAGTTCTGATTTTTTTATCGATGGTTCTGAACTGGAGCTGCCCATTGGCATCACCCAGGGTGGTTTCAGTCTCAGTAATGTTTGATTTAATCTCGGTAATGTTGATCAATTAAATCTGAACCCCAGATAATTCTAGTGTGTCATCTAAGGTGAAAAATGTTTTGTATCCTAAGCATTCATCTGCAAAGTAAATAGAGTTATATCAGTATACTAAGTGCTCATTAAGAAAATGAGTGGAGTTTTAAGTAAATGACTTTCAAAGATTTTAAAGTTAGTTGGTAGTTATATTAATCTGAACTTTTCCTGCCATTATCAATATATCACAAACCACTGGATTAGCTCATAGGCTGAAGAACAGTACCTACCTTATCTACCTGACTTTTGACTTTGGGGCATTAAAGGTGTGTACTTAGATATTTGAAAACACTGTTTCTCTGCTTTTCAAGGGCTTGAGTTTGGCAAGTCTCATCTACAGTTGTCCTCTGAGACCAGGAGTCCAATGGCTGTATTTATCAAGCTTTGGTGCTTCCCTCTGTGCTTCTCACAGTGGCCCCCATTCCGTGCCTTCCCTGCATTCTCACACTTGGATCACTCTTTGTGGGAGAGATGTCACTGCCTTTCTAATCCTTGACACAGGTCAAGGGTGCTTGGCAGGAAGGAGAAGTGGACATCCAAGAAATCCCTTGAAAGGAGAGAAACATCAGTGTGAGCTGGGCTGCCCTGGAGGTGGAAAAAAGCTTTGGTTTTTAATTGAAAAGATGTGGGACTTGGGAGGCAGGGAAGGAAATGCAAATACCTTTCTACCTCATAGTGAAAGTAAGTGGCACAAATGTGTGTACAAATGGGGAATTGTGGTCTCTTATGAACATAGTTTAAAGAAAGGCAACAAAGCAACAGATAAAAATCTGTCCAAGAACCCACACCCAGAGAGATAGACCCTTTGCCGCGGCAAGAAGGCTTCTCTCTTTCAAAGGTCACAGTCGGGCCCTGCTATGCTGAGAGAGAGACAGCACAGATTATGAGTGAGGTGGCACCAGCAGAGCTCAGCCCATGCCTGCATCGGAGCTAGGCAAAGCAACCTTCCTCCTCTCTAGAGCTCTTCGGCTTTGCCTGGCCCTAGCTGAGCTTGCACAAGCCCTTCAGAGTGCTGAGTGGGGAGGATGGTTAGGAGAACAGCAGCCACTGCTAGCCCACCTGCTCACAGAGTTAAACACAATCCCCTCAAGTGTGAGTGGTTCCCCAGGACCCTCCGAACATGACCGCACTTGAAAATAGCATTGCACAGGTGTCATTAGTTCAATTGAGCTCATATTTGATTAGTGTGGGGCTGTGCTTTCCAACCTGCCCCACACTGGGTATTAGCTTTCTAGCATTATTACAAAATATCTTAGATAATCAAATTATAAAGAGAGAAGCTGATGTGTTACTTAGGCTTGTGGTTTTAGGGTTCTACACCATGATTTGTTGGTCCCTTTACTTCTGAGCTTGCAGTCAGATAGAATATCATAATGGGAGCACATGATATAGCCAAACTATTCACCTGGTGGCCAGGGAGCAAAAGAGAGCAAAGAAGGGTCTGGAATTGAAGAAACAGATAGATGAAAAGAAGTGGGTATTTATCAGGAAGACTAACACAGACGGAAGAATTTAAGCTGATTTTTTTTTGTACATGTCTATATTCACAGTCACATTCAGCTGGTTTTAGAAGGTAGAATCTGTGACTTTGGCCATGGCTCAGCCTCCTCTGTTATTCCTCACATTTGGGTGTACAGACAGACACCAGAAGCCGTGGGACATGGTGTTCTGTTCCTGAGGCTACTGTGGTTTGAGGGTTGGTTGTACATGCTTGTTATCTGTGTTAAAGGCTTTTGTCTATCCCTTGGAAGAACTATCAGTATCCTTTCTACACATGATCACTCAAGAAACCTGCCAGATATTTGGAAAACCTGAATCAAAACTGTGACTGAGGCTGGGCAGATGAGGATAAGGGACTCAAACTATTCTTCCTGGAAAAAAATTGTGCAAAATGCACTCATCCTGCTAATGGTAGAATTGTCACCATCGACTTTACTTACAAAGGAAGAATATTATTTCCTCCATTGAGAAAAGAATCTGAAGCCAGGTTGTTGTGGATTTAAATCCCAGATCTACAAAATTATATCATCCTGGGCAAGTTACTTAACCTCTCTGTGCCTGAAGACATCTGCTTTATAGCACTATGATGAAGACAATCAATACATGTAAAGAATTTTACATGTGTTGTAAGTCAATACATGCAAAGCAACAAATAATAGCTTTTTCATGTGCTTTAAATGTGTTCTCTGCACAAAACTATAATTTTGTAGTGGATTAAAATAGAACAGTTCTATTAAAACAGAACAGATTGGATATAAGACAGGTAGCTTAGATTGGCAACATTTTCTATCTCTGTTATTTCCTTCTTGGAGGTAAAGTATAATTAACATGTTGGATCAGAGACCCATTGCATACAAATAAAGATGACTAAATCTCACTATGTCTTGGCTAAGACAGCACTGCTTTTCATCCAAGGCCTGAAAGCATTTTGTAAACCTTGTATTCTGTGAGCTTAAGTAGGTGTAAGAAGTCTTAAGGATGACTGGTGGAACTTTCCGGCACCAGGGTGTCCCCAGCACATGGCTAAGGAGGGCTCTTGTGGCATACTTTCTGAATGAATTCAGCAGGTCATTGCTCATACCATGCCAGAGCCCTACTTGAATGGCTTCCGAAGGTCTGAAGAGAAACTCTCACTTAGTCCCCAGGGTGACAGGTCCCTTCTGAGAATTCACTCCTCATCATCACATGCTAGTTGTGACTTTAATAGGTGAGTGTCTCAGAGCACAACGGTCATAGACCAGGCCATGGGATACTTACTCATCTTTTCCTGGGGACAGGTTTTTGATGGCCATCTTCATCACTGTGCTGATCCCTTGGAGTGAATTATTCTAGTCTCAGGACTGGAAACAGATAGATCCCAGAGCTCCCTCCCAAAACCTTGGGACAGCTAGAGTGTTCCAGTCACCTGAGACTGTATACATGTTGACGGTCTCAAAATCAAAAGACTGACAATATAGGCTTGCCGACGTAGGTACCACAGCATTTCTGATAACTGCCAAGGCACTTTACAAAGGTGGAAGGTGTGTCTGTGGCAGAGTGGAGACCAAATCAGTTCTGGGAGTTGCCACAAAGGGCTTGGTCCCAGCTTTGTAGGGATGGGGACAGGACTAAGTACCAGTGTTCTTGAAAGCCCTGTTTTGTCCCCTTTGCATACATAGCTGCAGGCATCTCATGAAAGTGCCCAAGCACCACACCTTTGCATATTCACCTCTGTGAGCATCTCCAGCCCCTGATTCCATTCCTTGCCTTGTTCTGTGTCCTGTTCCCACAGCCTAACTCTGAACTCCAACACCTTGAGGTCGTGCAGTGCCCTTTCCTCCGAGTCTACCTGGGAAGGAAAGCCAAAACTCTGGACACTCCCAGGTGCCTCTCCAGACTATAGCCACACTATACCCAAAGGAACCTAAAGTTGAGCATGGCCTGTGAGAGAAGTTTGGACATGGGATGCTCTGATTGCTTCTATCTGTCTTATGTTGAGCTGGCCTAACAAAATGTCATGGACTGAATATCTTAGACAATAAAAATGTATTCCTTACTAGTCTGGAAGTTGAGGAGTTTCAGATCAGTGTGCAGCATGGTCAGGGCCTGGTGAAGTTCTGCTTCCTGGTTTGTAGAAGGCCATCTTTATACTGGTGGAGAGACAGCAAGCTTTTTGGTGTCTCCTGTAAGGACTCTAATCCTGTCATGAGGGCCCCATCCTCATGACCTCATCTAAACACCAAATCTTCCCAAAGACCTAACTTCCAAATATCCTTGCACTGTGAGTTAGAGCATCAACATTTGAATTTGGAGGTGACAATGCAGTTCACTTCCCTAACCGTGGAAGGTGTCATAGCCTTATGCAAAGGCAGGCTATAACCAGGTCGGTAGGGAAGGACAGCACCCAGTGGTTCAGAATCAGTGATTTGCAGCATTCTGTGAGGTTATATGTGGATACTTACAGGGTCAGCTCTGGATCAGATTTCCTAGGCTCAGGTCTTAGTTTTTTACTAGGTTAGGCTACTCAACTCCATCTGTCCCAGTTTCTGTATCTGAAAAATAAGAATACTGGTAGTATCTACCTTGCAGGATTAGAAAATTGAATGAAGTAACACATGTAAAGGAAATGTTCGAACAGTTTCTGGGACTTAGTAAGCACTAAGTAATGCAATTCTTTTTAACTCTATGGTCCCCTATGTGTTGGTGAAGAGTCACTCTTGGTCATAAGAATGAGAGTTTGAAAGTAGAATTAGGCTGTGTGACTGATGTGTTTCAGAGAAGATGGAGTCAAAACACACTCTGATATTTTTTTTTCTTTCTTTTTTTTTCTTTGTCTTTTTGAGACAGCATTTCACTCTGCAGTTCAGGCTGGCCTTGAACTCATTTCATAGTCCAGGCTGGCTTTGTGCTAGAGTTATCCGTGTGCACCATCATGCCCTCAGCTTCACATTCTGAATTTTTGTTAAGAATCCTAGGGCAGGCACTGGACTGCACTAGTAATGTGTGACTGTTTCTTCCAGAAGTGCTAAGAAGCCAGGCTGAGGTCAGGGGTATAGATGCTACCTGTGAAGCCAGGACAGCTGTGAAGAAGGATGTTTGGCAGTCATTTGGTCCAAATTCTGACTCACTAACTCATTTCTGAGCCATGACAGCGCTTAAAGATGTGAATCAGGCCTAGTGGCATGTCTACCTCCAGGGCTCTGCTTGTGCTCCACCTACCTGGCCTGATCTCTTTGAAGATATCTCCATGCTGAGCTCTCTTGTTTCCCTCAGGTTTCTGCACAAAATTACTTTATCATGAGATCACTTCTGGCCAGTCATTTAAAGTGGCACTGCCTGCTCTCAGCATACCCTGCTTTCCTTGGCTTGCATTATTGTCCACTTAGCATGACATAGCATATATATTATCTATATACACTTTATATCGTATACACATGTACATATTGATGTATAACAAATTAAACATATTTAAAGTATTCAGTTTGATAAGCATCAAGACAGGTAAACACTCACACTTATTACCACCATCAAGATCATGAACACATCTTTTTAGGATCCTCAAAAGATTTCTTGTACCAAAATGATATCACTGAATTTTATTGGATCATTGAACAGAACTGTTTGCAGTCTCACTGTTGGAATGTCCACTTTATAAGCTTTAACTTTGTGACTTGAACAATTATTTCTAAGATGACAATATGTAATCCATTAACTAGTGGTTTCCTACTGTTTATTTTTTTCTGTAAATCTGTATAACTTGTACCCTTTCTCTGCTTTTTTTTTCTCCTTAAATAAAATTAAAAAAAAAAAGATTTCTTGTACCCCTTTATAGTCCCACCTTTTCTGACCTCTCTGCCCACTTCTTCTCAAACAGCAACAGATCTGTTTTCTGTTCTTAAGGTTCTCTAGAATTTTTTCTAGAAATTAGAGTATAAAATGTGTTCCCTTGTATGTGGTTTCCTCTCCTCTGGATAATTATCTTGAGAATCATCCCTGTTGTATGGCATGTAGATAGCTCATCCCTTCTTCTGTTAAGCAGTGTTCTAGTATTTTAGTGTTTGGATCTACTACAATTTGTTATTCCACTTACCTGTTGATAGACACTTGGGTTGCTCCAAGTCACAATGCTTATTGATTTCTTTTCTTTTCTTTCTTTCTTTTTTTTTTTTTTTTTTTGGGTCTTTTTCATTTTTATCAGTACCAGGGATCGAACTCACGACTGCCTGCTTGCAAGGCAGGCGCTTATGCCACTGAGCTAAATCCTCAGCCCCCTGCTTATTGATTTCTAACTTTGTGTATTATGATTCTGTCTACTGACATAGGACTTGCATGAGGTGGAAATGCCCAGGAAACTGAGATTTGTCTCATCTGTTGTTCTCTTCTGTCGCTCCAGCACTTGGGGCTGTGCCCTTCTCAATCAGCATTCAACAGAGATGCGGAGAAGGAGTTGTTCGGTGCCTGCAGTGACGTGGTTCTATTTTTCAGAGCCTCGCCAAGGGGAGGGGAGAACCATTCCACCACAAGCTGGGCACTAATTTCAAATTAGTGGCTTCTTGGCAACAGACTGACCAATACTTTGGCAGTGCTGCTATGTAAGAGTCTGATATAAGAAGATAGAATAATTGTAAAAGGTCTCTTGTAGTAGCTCTATATATGATCAGTTTTCCCATTACTGAAACCAAATACCTGATACCCACAACTGAAAGGAGAAGAGGTGCAACTGAGCTTATGTTTTGAGCAGATTCAGTCCATGGTGGACTGGGTCCAAGGCAGAAAGGCATGGGAGAGGAAGACTGCTCACATTACAGCTGCTGGAAAGCAGAACAGGGTGGGGTGGGATGTCAGTGAGAGATACACCCTCCAAAGGCATGCCCACAGTGACCCACCTCCAAGAAGGCTCTACCTTCTAACAGCGCAGTCAGCCATGAACATCATACAGCCGCCCCAATATTCAGTCATCCCTCCAGAAGTCTCTTAATCCAACCACACTGACAGTTAAGATTAACTGGCAGACTCCATTTGAGCTGAGGGTGTCTGAGCTTGTGGTCATTGTGTGGCTGCCCTTTTCTATTCTTGTCATCGTCCATCTGTGGGCTGCTACCCTAGTTACAGCTGTTCTTTGGCATCACTGAACCTTCTTCTTGTCCTTGCCCAACACGAGGCTGCTCCCTCAGGCCCATGCTCCAGGCCCTTCTGCTTCTTGTGTCTGCCACTTCCCAATTGTTCCTTCGCCTACATTTGCTCAGTGGTCACCACGAGATGTCAAAGAGGTAGAAGCATAAGGAGATACTGGGATAAGAAAACAGGGAAGGTCACAGCAGGCACTGAGGTCCTGACAGCAGATCAGCAGGCAAAGAGAAGCAGTTAAACCATGAGTTTCTTTCCTGGTGGCAGGTCTCTGGACTGTGTTTTTATCTTTCATTTTTTGCGCCTTTGGGTAATACTTAGGTCCTTGTGCATGCTAGTGAGTCAGATTTTGAGAGAAATGTTCTCTGTTCTGCTTTTGTTTGTTCCCTTGCCTTGATTTAGCAATTTAAGACAATTTTTTCAGTGCCTTTGCACTGAGATACATCCCCAGATCTAAATGTTTTAAAATTTTGAGATATGTTTTGTTAAGTTTCTGCCCAGGTTGTTCTCAAATTTGTTATTCCCCTGCCTCAGCTTCCCCGAATGCTGAGATTATAGGTGTGTACCACCAGACCTGGCAAATGATTTTTTTTTTTTTCAAAGCAAAACTGACTCTTGTGAGCCACAGAGTTGCATGTGGGAGCTGCCTGCAAGGCACTGACTAAGGAACTCAATCCATAATAAGCAGCAAATCAAGTGACAGCTGGTATTTTGCTGAGGATTTAATAAGGGAACTTTCACTTTCCATCGGATAGTTGGTGTCGCAGAGCTGGAAAGGGCTCTGAGACCTTGTTGCTTGATTTTGGACATTAGCATAAGCACCAGCATCTCCAGGGAGCTTGTTAGAAAGGCAGACTCCATCTCTAACTGCAGGCCCAGCCAACCTGAGCCCATCCTTTAACAAGATCTCTGGGGATTCGTGTGTTGCTTGACATATGAGACACCCTTCTCTAAAGATCAACCCACTTCTGGATACATATGACAGCGAGGGAACTAAAAACATGGATCCAAATACTCCCAACCTCAAGAAATTCTGCTTTTGTTAGTCAAATTCAACTGTTTTAGTTTACTTTTTTACTGTACTTTCTAGATTACCCAAAGTACTGAAAGATTATGGGTCCATCTAAAGTAATAGTTAATGAGGAACAAAATTCAGTTCAGAACCCAAGGATTCCATTAAAGTTTTCACTGCAGCTCAGCCAACAAGTCCTATCCTCCAACAAAGTCTGCTCACACGCATGCTGAACTGCAGCTCAAAAGTAGCGAGCATAAGAGCTTTCTTCCAAACACTTGAGGGTCAGCTATGTGCCAGGGACCGTTCTAGACCCTGAGGATACAGCAGTGAATGTAAAGCCCTTGATCTCCTGGGATAGGGATATTATGAGGAGCCAGGCATTTAACAAACCAGCTGCTGTGCAAGGTGTCAGGTGAAAAAGAAAGAATATCAGGGAAGGAGGTCTCTCTGATGGGGTCCTCTGAGCAGAAAGGTGAAGGGGAACAGAGAGAAGGTGATGTAGTTCCTGGAGAAGAATGTGCTTGTCAGAAGGAACAGTCAGGGCGGAAGCCCTTGGTAGAAGTATCCAGACCTCAGTGGCTGAGTCTAGCAGGTACAGGGGAGATTGTAGGACCTGTCACTCATGGCTCTTAATAATGACTAGGACGTTACTATGAATAAGATGGGACTTGCTGGAGGGTTTCTAAGCAGAGACATATTTCGTGGCTTGGTTATAAGAGGAGGACTGTGGCTGTAGGGCTGTAAATATTCCATCTCAGAGGAGTCAGAGGACATCCAGGATTCCCCACAAGCAACTACTGCAGGAATTTTGATGAGATGTTGGTGGTTCTAACCAGGAGGGCTTCTGAGAAGGTGGCAGGAAGCAGCTGGCTTCTGGTTGTGTCTGGCAGAAATTGCTGTTGAACTGCATCAGGAAGGGACTGACAGTGGACTTCAGGGCTTGAGGTCTGAAATTGCAGAACTTTAGAAATGAGCAGCAGGCTGGGTTGAATATGTAGAGTTTGATGAACCTACAGTATTAGTATTTCAGAATTGTATGTCACTTGGCTTTTAGAAAGCATTCTGGGCCTTCTGGCTAGTGATACTTGTTACTACCCAATACTATGACCACCTGCTGAAAACTGTCAGGTTCTGAGAAGAGTGCTGGGCCTGTCATAGATCAGATTCACGATTTAATTTAGGATTTAGTATAGTAAAAATGGCCTTGAGATTTCTGGGACATCATGTTAGTCTGGTGGTAGGTGCAGAAGGTGGATTATTTCTAATTACCTTGAGTTCTTGTCTGATGAGAATGGTCTAAATTAATTAAGCTATACAGTAGGAATGCAGCTGGATTTTTTTCCTGTCTAAAGTCATTTTGCTTTTTTCTTGTTCAGAGAATCTCTAGTGTGTCTGTAAAATTCCCATGGG